TTATCCAAATGTATCCATTTAATTCCTTAATTAATAGTTAATCCCCCACTAAAATCAATAATTATCCGATTATCCATATAATTAAGAATTGTCTCAAATTACTTAAAATACTACTCACTTTTAATACAATTCACACACCGTACTATCAGGGTCATATGGTACCTTGTATGGTACTAGTCCATAAATACCGGGTATTTTAGCTCGCGTCGTATTTTATTTCAAAATGTCAAACTTTGACGAAATTCATTTTCTTCGATTTACTTATCCTCTCACCTTCACGAATTTACTCGTCACTTATTTGAAATAGCATAATACTCATAATCTCAAAATAATCCCATTCCCGAATTTATGTCGATTAACTTACGACGAAACTTTAACATACGAAAATGCGAGATGTACCATCTCTTTTTCGAGCTTCTATCAATTTACTTATGGCGTACTTTCATGTACGAAAACATGGGGTGTAACACTTGCATTTATTCATGTTGGTGAGAGATTGCTTGCAGTTGATGTTCAGGCCTTGGCCAATCAGTTCTTGAGATTAGATGTTTCGGAGCCCATCCGGGTTCTAGCTTGTGTAGTTTCTCAGTCTTCTTTATATGATTGCATCATAGAGCGCTAGTATGATGATCCCCATTTGCTTGTCCTTGAGGACACGGTTCAGCACGGTGATGCCAAGGATGTTACTATTGGGGATGATGGGGTGTTAAGTATGCATGGTCAGACTTTTGTTCCTAATATAGATGGGATACGTGAGTTGATCCTTGAGGAGGCCCAAAGTTCGCAATATTCCATCCATCCGGGTGCCGCGAAGATGTACCAGGACTTGAGGCAGCATTATTGGTGGAGGAGGGTGAAGAAGGATATAGTGGGGTTTGTAGCTCGGTGCCTAAATTGTCAGCAGGTGAAGTATGAGCATCAGAGACCGGGCGGATTGCTTCAGAAGCTTGAGATTTCGGAGTATAAATGAGAGTGTATCACCATGGATTTTGTAGTTGGGCTCCCACGGATTTCGAGGAAGTTTGATGCTATTTTGGTGATTGTTGATCGGTTGACCAAGTCTGCGCATTTCATTCCAATTGGGACTACTTTTTCTTCGAAGAAGTTGGCTGAGATCTACATCCGCGAGATTGTTCGCCTTCATGGTGTGCTGGTGTCCATCATTTCAGATCGTGGCACGCAGTTTATATCTCAATTTTGGAGAGCAGTGCAACGAGAGTTGGGCACCCAGATTGAGTTGAGTACAGCATTCCACCCTCAGACGGACTCCGAGCGTACTATTTAGATATTGGAGGATTTGCTACGTGCTTATGTCATAGATTTCGGGGGTTCATGGGATCAGTTTTTGCCGCTTGCAGAGTTTGCCTATAACAATAGCTACAAATCGAGCATTCAGATGGATCCGAATGAGGCTTTATATGGGAGACAGTGTCGGTCTCCGGTAGGGTGGTTTGAGCCGGGCGAGGCTAGGCTATTGGGTACTGACCTGGCTTAGGATGATTTGGAAAGGTTAAATTGATGTAGGATCGGCTTCGCACGGCGCAGTCTAGACAGAAGAGTTACGCCGATCGGAAGGTTTGTGATGTTGCTTACATGGTTGGGGAGAAGGTACTGCTCAAAGTTTCACCCATGAAGGGTGTTATGAGGTTAGGGAAGAAGGGAAAGTTGAGACCTCGGTATATTGGGTTATTTAAGGTGCTTCAGAGGATTGGAGAGGTGGCTTACAAGCTTTTCTTGCTTCCTAGTTTGTCGAGTGTTCATCCAGTATTTTATGTTTCTATGCTCCGGAAGTATGTAGGTGATCGGTCTCATGTTTTGGATTTCAGCACGGTTCAGTTCGATGGTGATTTGACTTATGATGTGGAGTCGGTGGCCATTTTGGATCGGCAGGTTCGAAAGTTGAGATCAAAGAACATAGCTTCAGTGAAGGTGCAGTGGAGAGGTCATCCAGTTGAGGAGGCTACTTGGGAGACCGAACGGGAGATGCGAAGCAGATATCCAAGCCTATTTGAGACTCCAGGAACGTTTCTAGATCCGTTCGAGGACGAACGTTTGTTTAAGAGTGGGAGAATATAATGACCCGGGAGGTCATTTTGAGTGTTGTAGCCCTGTTCCCCCATTTACTGCTCACTTTATGCTTCTTAGTTGATATGTGACTTGTCGGGGTACTTGGTTCTATTCCGAGGATGTTCCGGAATGAGTTGAGACACTTAGTCTCAAGTTTGGAAACTTAAGTTGAAAGGGTTGACCGAATGTTGACTTGTGTGTAAATGGCTCCGGAATGGAGTTTTGATGATTCTGATAGCTCCGTTGAGTGATTTCATACATAGGAGTGTGTCCGAATAGTGATTTGGAGGTCCGTAAATGATTTAAGCTTGAAATGGCGAAAGTTGAAAAATTGGAAGTTTTGGAAATTGAGAAGTTTAACCGAAAGTTGACCTTGTGGTTACCGGGCTCGGATTTTTGTTCCGAGAGTTGGAGTAGGTCATTGTATCATTTATGACTTGTGTGCAAAATTTATGGTCAATCGGACTTGATTTGATAGGTTTCGACATCGATTGCATAAGTTGAAATTTGTTAGTTTCCGTTAGGCTTGAATTGAGGTGCGATTCATGTTTGTGATTTTGTTTGATGTGATTTGAGGCCTCGGCTAAGTTCGTATCATGTTTTAGGACTTGTTGGTGTGTTTGTTTGAGGTCCTGGGAGCCTCGGATAGAATTCGAATGGTTAACGGATCGAAGTTTGGAATTGAAGGATTGATGATGTGCACCAGGTCTGGTGCGATCGCACCTGCGATGGAATTGGTCGTAGGAGTTTGAGGTGAAATTTTGGGAGTTTGAGGCTAGGGATTTGGAGAGTTAATTTGGGAGATTTGAGTGACGAATTGGTGTCGGAATTGAATGGGCTTCCGAATTTTGTAACTTTTATCGGATTCCGAGACGTGGGCCCAAGGGTCGACTTTTGAGCTAACTTTTTGAATTTCGATTAAGAACTTAATATTTTCTTATGGAATTGATTCCTTTAGCTCGTTTTGATTGTATCGAATTATTTTTGGCTAGATTCGAGGCATTCGGAGGCCGATTCGCGAGGCAAGGGATTGTTGGAGTGGGGATTTACACGGTTTGAGGTAAGTAATATTTCTAAACTTGGTTCTGGGGGTATGAAACCCAGAATTACATGTTATGTGATTGGTGTTGAGGTGACGCGCATGCTAGGTGAAGAGTGTGTGGGCGTGCACCGTAGTAATTGTAATTTAGTCGATTTCATGAAACTGTGTAACTATCTTATCTGAACATTATTAATGTACTATATGTGTTAGAGCACTTGAGTTGTGATTTATACTAGAAAACATGTTTAGGGTATATGCTGGTACTATTGGGATCCACAGTGGTCGTTATTTGTTGTTGAGTTATTTGCTTAATTGCAGTTATGTACTCAGTTGCATTTATCATTACATATCATATCTCGATCGCAGTTATTGTATATTGTCACATCTTGTATCATTGATTAGGGTTGCTTAGCATGAGTGTTGTGAGCCCGAGAGACTGGAGAGATTGATGATTGAGTGAGGTCGAGGGCCTGTTGTGAGTGATATTTATGGGATCAAGCTGCACGTCGCAGCAGGCTTTATTGACTCATGCCAGAATTTGGCTTATTATAGCGCTTGGGATAGATCTGCCCCTCCGGAGTTTGCACACCCACAATGAGCACAGTTGCTATTGATTCATTTGCATTAGGCTGGATCTGCCCTGCATTTATTTGCATTGGGTTGGATCTGCCCTGGATTTATTTACATTTGGGTTGGATCTGCCATGTACAGTACTGAGTGATTGAGTGTGATGAGTGAGAATTAAGGCAATCAGATTGAGTACTCTGAGAGTGTGAGTACGCGCGGATTGCATTGTGTTGCATCACATACGATACGCATATTGGCATGTGGATATATAGATGTCATATTCCTCGTATCATTCAGACTTGATATATTTTATCCGTTCTGAGTTTAATTGCTAAACCTAGATGCATGTCTAAATTCTTGTACCGTTACCTGTAGATTATGATTTTTTGAGATATTACTGTCATATTTTTCGTAAATTTCTGTACTGTTAATTATGTATGTGGGCTGTAATATTCGAGCATGTCACTACTTTCAGTCCAAAGGTTAGATTTTTTACTTATTAAGTTGGTTGTACTCACGCTACACTAGGGGTGGGCGTTCGGTCGGTTCAGTTCGGTTTGAAAAAATTCGGTTCGGTTATTTGGTTTTCGGTTTTGTAAAAGTATTAACCGAACTGAAATAAGTTCGGTTTAGTTTGGTTTTCTAATTTCGGTTCGGTTTATTTCGGTTCGATTTTCGGTTTGAACAATATCATATTGGGCTTCTTCTACGTATTAATTGGACTGACTAATTTGTTGATTTTTTTCAAAATTTAGGACTACTTGTGTTGCTTGAATGTGATAAATCATAAATCTGTTCTTTTATTTATATAAATCTGATTTGTGTTGCTCAGGAGTATTCTTGATTAAAAAAATCTGATTTGTAGAGAAAATATACTATAATCTTAGTAACACAAATATAACGATAAGGACTATTATCTCTCAAAAACCTTTTGGTCTACCAAGAATCAAATAAAAGCATGTACATTTTTTAAAATATATCAAGATGCTATTTCTTCTAGAGCGAACAACAGACCACCAACAGGAGCTCGAAAAGCAGCAGCCATCTAGTTTATTTATAAAATCACATGCCAATGTGATAATTTGCACATAATCAAGAAATAAAATACCCATATCAAATTCAATATGCAGCAACATATGTCCAATATTCAGCCATGAGAGAACAAAAAATCCAGAATCTATGCTGCTTTGCTGCCAAAAACCTAGAAATATGCCAATGTGATAATTTGCACATAAACTTCATTCATTATATCCAAAAGTTAGCTTGAGTAGCTAGTATGAGATCACTATTTAGTACAAGCAATATTACATAACCAAAAGAGAAATCGAGAAGTTAGAAAGTTTTCATGTTGCTGAAGTCTCAAAATCAATAAAATAACTACATTAAGTACTACTGCAGCATCAGCTTGTCTACCAAAAGAGCTCACTAGCAAGTTATTACTGCAGCATCACTTGTCTATTTACTACTTGTCTATTTACTTGTTGATCTAAGCATTTATGAAAATGATACATAATCTTTAAGTTCCATTTAGGCGCCATGATCAAACCTTTGCAAAAAAGACATAAGTATAAGTCAAAAACACAATTGATTTATAATAAAGTATATCAATGTTATATCATCAAATATACAGAAGGTTATCAACTTACCACACATGCCACAGGTTGCAACTATATGTCAATAATAGTTGAATCTTTTGCACAATTTGCCAAATCTAAGGAAAATATTGAAGAAAACTTTGTCATGCATCAGTGTTAAGTAAACTATTTGTAATATAATAAATGCAAAACACAAAATAATTACCAAGTTCCAGTTGTTCTAGATACTCCAAGTCTTCCTCAACTTTAATAGGAATAGGTTCACTTCTAAGCCAATCTTGAAGACAAATAAGAGATTGCACCAGTTTAGGCGTCAACGAACTCCTAAACGAGTCAAGAATGCGACCTCCAGTACTGAATGCACATTCTGATGCAACACTTGAAATAGGAATGGCTAACACATCACGAGCCATCTCATACAGTTTATTCTTTGTATAGAAGTCCAAGTATCTGTTGTAAGACAGATTTTTGGACGTGCTTCATTGAAGGACTTCTTCAAACTTTGTCTTTGTTCACAATAAAGTTCATAACAATCTCTTGTCAATGTTCTACGAGAAGGAATTTGAAATTGAGGTATTGTGACTCCTATAAACTTCTTAAATCCTTCCTTTTCAACAAAACTAAATGGCAGTTCATCCAAAATTATCATTTGAGCTAAAGCTCTCCTACTAAGTGCTTGATCAAATTTCCAAGTGGTAAGCACCCCTTCATTTGGCCCATTTGAAGCTAGTAGAAAACTTAGTTGTGTTTGACTATTTTCTATTTTACGGGGCATTTTGGGACACTTAGTGAGATGATTGTTCATTGATGTAGTACCATTACCTTTCGTAGCAGCTGCATAAGTTTTTTCACAATACTTACATTTTGCTCTTTTAGCTCCACTAGGATCATCATACTTCTCAAAATGGTTCCAAGCATCAGATCTAGGTTGCATGACTTTCCTTTTCTTTGGAGCTTCATCAAGACTGAGACATTCAGTGTTAGGTACGCTATCATTTGAACCCCCACCTTCGTAGGCTTCACTTACCCTACTTCCATTTTCTTCCATCTACGAAAACGAATACAAGCAGAACAATAAAATACTGAGCTATAATAATGCGAAAAAGGAAGTTAGAGGATGAGACAGAAACAAGCACAAAATTAAATGAGGAAACATAAATAATAACCGAGCAAGGAGACAAAAAATGGACATCAAATTCAAGAGTCAAGACTTATTTCAACAATATACATGCGCCTTTAAGTCTTTAACTACTAATTTTTAGCAGAAAAAAAGAAGACAAAATTTACTAAAACGAGAGAAAGAAGAGAAGATCGGCGAGGATAGAGAACAAAAAAGAAGCAATGAGAGAAATATAACAAAAATTAAACTTACCGGCACAAGCACACCAGTGTATCAATGGTGATAGAGACTAGAGAGAGAAGTTTGAAGAAAAAGAACCCTAGCGTATGCGTATTTGGAAAAATCTTAGGAATGGGAAAAGCAAAAGCTGATGACAAGCTTAAAAGTCTTTAAGTGTGGGCCTAGTATTTGTTAAGAGTGGGCCGTCTTTAATGGACCTTAAAATTGGGTATAGTTTTTGTTATATTGGGCTTAGCCTATATATAGTTTAAAGAATCTATTTGCTAATAATTCGATTTTTCGGTTAACCGAACAAAATAAATCAATAACCGATGACTGAACCGAAAAACTGAATTTTAAAATTTTAAAATTGAAACCGACCGAAAAGACCGAATAACCGAAACCGAAATAAAAATATTTTCGATTCGATCGATTTTTTCGGTTCTAACCGATATATGCCCACCCCTACGCTACACCCTGCATTTCGTGTGCAGATCCAGGTATTTTCGGGCACGGTGGTTGCTGATTCTCAGAGTTCAGTCATTCGAAGATTATCGAGGTAGCTGCCCTGGCGTCCGCAGACCTTGACTCTCCTCCCCTATCTCTCAGTTTACTTATTCAGTATCTGCATTTCTTAGACAGTGTATCAATCTTAGTATTGTATAGATGCTCATGTACTCAGTGACACCCTGGTTTTGGAAAACTTTTGTATCGAGTTGTGACGGTTTTTATCATTTTTTTTAGATTTGTACTTATTTAAATCTGTTTTAGTATAATTTAAATGTGAAAGTGTTGGTATGTCTGAGTTGTCGGCTTGCCTAGTATCATGACAGGCGCCATTACGACAGGTCGAGTTTTGGGTCGTGACAGCCAACCTTTCTTGAGTTTGAGTATTTGCATATGGTTACCGAGTATAATGGAAGCAAATGTCGTGAGTTTCAATCGTGAGGATAATGGAAGTGGATGTCGTGAGTTTCAATCATGGGACAATTTTAGGTTTTGCAATTTAGGGAAAGTGGCATTCAAATATGCAATTTATAAATAATAATATAAATAAATTTTCTTGTTTAGAAAGGAAAAAACGTGTCCTTTAATTGTGCCTCTCCAAATCAGTTATTGTTTGAAAATTTTAAAAATTCTGGAAAACAAAACGTGTACTTTACATTTTTTTAAAAATAAATTTGAAACTCCAACAAAGTTGGAGAATTGTCCAAAATTTTACATGTGTCAATTCAATGTTATTTCACTTGTCATCATAATATTTCTTTGCCTCTCCTATCTATACTATATTAAAATCACGAAGGCCTTTAGCGAAATGTCGTTCGCTTTTTTTACCCTTTTAAAATAAAATTCACACTAGACAAAATAGTCATTTGATTATTCTTCTACATAATATTTAGGAGTTTGAAATGAAATAAGATTTATTACTTATTATACATTTCCTTATTTGAATTAAGCAAGAGATCCTTATATTTAGGACTTCAAAATTATTAAGGTTCTATTTTATATGAATTTTAAAATTAAAGTATAATTAAATAACACCAAATATTTATATGTTTTACCTTATATATGAATTTTATACAATTAAACGTTTTTATCTCAAAATAAATTGTATAATCATGCTAAATTTTAGGTGAACAATTATGATGTAAACAAATCAGTAATTAACCTATAAATGCTATGAGTATTCCATGTGATATTGTTCCATTGGCTATTAATTTTATTCTTCGATAAATAATTAATTAAATATAAATATTAATATAGATTTTAAAACTTAATTAGAAAAAATAATTACGAAAATATTTAATAATAGCAAGAGAAAGAGAGAGAAAAAAGTGATTGACAAAAGTCATTTACTAACGCTACGACAAGCATAAAGTGCAAAAGTTTAATTTTTTTATCATTTGACAAAAAACAATTGCGGATAAATATATAGTTATAATTAAATATTTATTTTATGCCTATGAGATAATATTAATAATTTAAATCCTCAAAAAATAAATTATTTCTATTAGTGATTAAAAAAGATAATTAATTATTTGAATTGACTTTTTTTCCTCGGATTTGAATTAAGTGACTAGAAAGATAATCTAATTTTTTTTTCTTTCTAAATTCATCATATAGGTAAAATTAGCGATAAAAGAAATTTGAATATAAAATAAAATCAATTGTAGTATTAAAAATTAAATTGGTTAAATACAAACTTTAAGAAATAAGGATGAAATAGTAGAAGCCAAAATGTATTCATAAAGAGATGTCATGTGAGATAGACTTTAACATATTTATAAATCATATTAAAGATAGGTATAATTACAAAATAATGTACAACTAATTTAACTAAATTCATCATCTATGTATATTCAGAAGATATTTAATACAATTACTATGAGAAAACTTATTTTTACATTTAAACAAATATTGCATTTTATGTTAATGTAAATGTGTCTATTTTTAATTGATAGACATTATACGCACGTGCAACACAGGTATATTGAAACTAGTACTATATTAAAAGCACGAAACCCATTAGCGAAATGGCGTTCGCCTTTTTTACCCTTTAAAAATATATTTTAAGAAGGAAAATTTTGTTTATCTAAATCTTTTTTATTTCGCTAAGGGACTTCGTACTTTTAATATAATATAGATACAGATTTAGGGACTTTAAAATCAAGTAAATTTTGTTTATCTAAATTTTCTTTATTTAAACTATGCATAAAGTTCTAATATTTATGTCATGACCCCAATTTTCCTTTGTAGGATATCGTGATGGCACCTAGTCTCTAACACTAGGTAAGCCTAACATTCAATTAGAAATAACTGAAGTAATAATTAAAGTCTCAAAGCTCAGCAACTATATAAAATAAACTCTGCAACTCAAGATAGATAACTCCCAAGACCCGGCGAATACAAGTCACAAGCTCTAAATAATATTACTGCATAATCCTATACATCAATGTCTATAAAAAGAGAAGGAAAATAGAGTAGTCTAGGTAGAGGGGGACTCTGAGGCCTGCAAACGTTGGCAGGTATACCTTGAAATCTCCGCAGTTGAGCTCTTGCTAATACTTGTGCTGGTAGGAGGTACCTGGATCTGCACAAAAAGATGTGCAGAAGCGTAGCATGAGTACACCACAACGGTACCCAGTAAGTGTCAAGCCTAATCTCGGTAGAGTAGTGACGAGGTCAGGTCAAGACCCTACTAGAATAAATAAGAGACAGAACGAGCAATTTAATAGTGCAATAATAATAATAATGGAAATGAATCAAGTAAGGAATATGCCAAATTTTACTACACAGAACTAAGCAATTAATGCATCACGAAAGAAAACAACGAGTGTTATGTCAAGGAAACAAAGCAACTAAACACATGTGAAATAACAGAGAAATACCAACAAAAATCACTACCAAGGTACCGCCTCAAGTCTCAAATCACAAGAATAATTCACAATTTCTCCTTATACCAGCGCGGGAGCCTTGCATTTAGTTTTGAAAATTATTTTCTCGAAATAGATTCCCGCGTTTTAGCCCACCTTATCACACCGCATGGCTTCTAGTAGTTCCCCTACTAGCCACGCGTATCAAGCCCGCCTTATCACACCGCATGCGTATCAATATCACAACATATCACAACTCGCACCTCAAGTGCCCAATATCACAACTTTTCAAAGAAACCAACAACAATAGTGTTTTCACAATAAATAGCCTATGGCTCAACCACAATATACACAAGAGTCTCAACAATAATAACCGGTAGTGAATAACTCAACAAGAATAGTATTTCACAACTTAACACTTTGCCTCAATGTGAATCACGGCCTTTATAACTCAATACCAATTTCAACAACAAGATATTCCAAGAACAATAATTTCAAGTAAGAATTCAACGGTTAAATAATGAATATGAAATAAAGGAAACAAGAACATCAACTAAACACGTAGTGCAATTAACAAATAAGAGCTAAGACAAATAGAGCAAGTGAAATAGACCAATGATGATGAAAATAATATGTTAAGATAACTTAATTAAGGCATGAAAGGAATCTACATAGCTAAAACCGATAAATTTTCACATTTAGCCTGTGTACACACTT